GCTTAGGAGCACTGAGAAAACGGAAAGCAAGGGCTGGATCAGTAAGTACTCGCTGTATACTGGTAAACTAGACCCCAAGAAAAAATTACTTGGGGTTGGAAAGAAATTAAGAGCAGAAAAATGCTGAAGCAACCAGCAAAAAGCAAGTACTGTTCAGGGAACAAGCTGAATCTTAGATAAATTAATACTTCAAAGCTTCATGATTCATTTATCCAGGTCCAAAAATGCATGTGGTAAAGGAGGAAATCCAGATGCTTACTATGGGTTTTACATTATTGGATTATCACATTTTGAGGAATTGAGGCAAACCATTTTTTATTCAACTTCAGAGGATAAAAATTATTTATAAATTCAGCATAAATGACAACCTTCTATAATTAGTTGGCAGACACAATGCCCTATAGTTCTTCAAGATCTCAATGTCTTTTGACTTTTTAAAACCAAAACACAACGCCCTCAGTACACACACACATCAACCTTCTTGCATCACTTCTTAAGAGCACATTTGCAGTTTATCAGTAGTTTCATTTGTTAAGTTCAAGTGAGGTGAAAGGCACCAATAGAACATTCTTTAAAGAGAACCACACTAGTAGCTTATCTTAGGTAAACATACTGTCACACGGGAGAACAAACTACTTATATTTGTAAGGCCAGCATGTGGACATACTATGAAAAAGATTGAAAAAGAGCCCTAGATAAAACTATGCAAATACCTTTGTCCTTGTGTACCCTCTAGTGGCTGTCGAGGTTATGCTGGCGTCACAATAACTAAGCAGGCAATGTCCTCAACCAGACAGAATCAGAGTGCTTCCCTCTGCAACAGCTCTTTTAAAGAGATGGAGATTCATGAGATCAGGGTTCTGAGCAGGCAAAAGTATCAATTATTTGAAGTTTAAAGTTTACAACAAATTCTGCCTCGTTAGTTTAATGAAGTGAACCCAAGTTTTCCACTTAAAAAGTGCCAAGATACATCAAGCAACGCATATAGCAAGCATTCAGAGCATGTGCCTGTGTAACAGTGGCGTATGTGCACGCTGCACGCAAACTGAGGCAACATCAGTAAGTTAAGCTGAGTATTACTCTTCCAAGTGGAAAAAAATCCAATACACAGGCTGCAGAGACTACATAAGAGTGACTTATGTATGAAATAGCAGTTCCAGACTACAGTAAAAACATTATTTAAACTAGAAATGGCTGTTTTGTCTGCATGTGCTGAAGAACTGGATTACATCAGGGACAAAAACTGTTATCCAGTATAAGAACATTCTCCAAGCAAACAACTAACATTTAATTTGGTTCAGCTTAAACAAACATAAAAGACTGTACAAGAGACACTTCAAATAAACCCACTAAAAATCTCCGCTCTCACACCCAAACTCCCCAATAAATACAAGCAAAGATCAGCACCCTAGCCAAGGTACAAAGTCCTCTCAATAATGGAAAAAACCTCAAGTCAATTCTCACAGCTATGATTTAGCAAAGAATATAAATTGCATTCTACTGTTTAGTGGACCACACAGCTGGTAAAACATGAAAATTAACAACAGTCAAAAACAGAATATATAGAGGTTTTAGCAGCTCATATCTACTTTTTCAAGAACTCTAGATGCAACATGCAGCTACGCCATTCAGCTAAAGATGCAAGTCATTAAACAGTGTAAGAAGAAACAGCTTGAGAGCTGCTGAAGTGTTGAGCCTTCAACAAATCATTACAAAATTTGTGCAGGAGGGAAGCATCGTGAGGCCTCTCATAATGTGCCATCCTAAATTAGGTACTCAACTTACCAACACGATGAAGGCAAAGGGTGGAGTAATTAGACTAGATAACAACGCCTATATATTACAAGAAAAAAAATCAAAATAGTGTCTTGAAATAATATGAGATAATGCACATTCAAGATGAAGATTTCACAAAGAACAGGATGCACACCACAGATGTACAACACATAAGCAGTAAACTGAATCCCAGGCTACATGTACAACAGACATTACTTTTAATAAAAAGGTTCTCTTATCTTCAGTAAAACATATGGACAGAGGTGTCCAGTCAGTCCTGCAGACAACTGAAAGTTTCCCTTCAGATACAGCAATTAAGTATTCAGCAACAAGAATGCTGGCTCTACTGTACATGGCAAGTGCAGGTGTTTTTTCTGTATTCCAGATGTACATCAGAAAAAAGGCCATGTGATCGTATAGCCTAACCAGGTCTTTGCTTATTCATCTGCACCATATGTTCATAGGCAGCAATGCAAAAATCCCTCTTTCTGTGTGTTTACAGCTTGAGTTTAAGTTAGTCCTTTCTCCGTTTTTGAAGAGAAAACCTGAACAACTGTGTGGCCAGTCATTCATCCCCATGCCTGAGTTTTGCAATAATGCAGTACAAGCTTGCCATCACTTCCAAAACACTGCAAGAAAAACAAAAAAAACCAATAGCTGTTACAATTACTCATGGGCTAGCATATACAAGAAGCAAAACAAAAAGTCTTCCCATCAGATAAACATGTCATGGAATATTGTCATGAGAAAGCTCCCCATTACAGTGAGAGGCATGGAAACACACTGCACATGAAGGAATGCATTTCCAGAGACTGCACGAAGTCACATCTCTTTGGACCCCGTTCACACAGAGCAGTAAACATCAATTACACTACAATTAAATGCAAGCTATTACTGCTAGGGGCAGCGGGAGATTTCAAGGGCCCGAGGCATGCAGGTAAATCCTGCTAAATGCATTTGGAAAGGATATTCAGGATGAAAGTTACCTCATAGAGGGTCCCCACTTCCTGGTCTGGAGACGGAGCAAAAGACTGGTTTACGTATATGAACTGCAAGAAAATTAGGGAGAAGAGATGGAGATAGCACAGGATCACACTGGGAACAGAGAAGAATCATTCTGCAGTCAAAAGTTCTGCTATTAATCTTTAACCATATAACAGAATACGACCAGTTACTATCATTTTCACTTCAGTGTGGAGGAGCAACAGGACTATGAGGAGTCCCCTCTGTCTGACCAGCCGACCAAGCCAAAGTAAACGTGCTGACTTCCTTTTCCTGCAAGCTGACCCATTACTCTCCCATACAGCTGCACAAAGGGTTTAGCTCTTGCTCTTATTTCAGCCCAAACCACTCGCTTACTATTCCATATTTGCTCAATTAGAATGGCCAACACAGAAATAAGAAACATCTTGTTCTATTTTCAAGTCATCCTTCTCACTTCCTGCTCCAAAAAATACATTTACATGTATAGGAGCTAATCCTCAATGACAAAGAGGGCCTTGTGATCTGCTGTATGGGGCAACAGTGGACACTGGGGTATCATGTGCTATTTCCTAATAAAAGATATAAAATTCCTAGGGCTTTGTTCTTGAAGCATAGCCTTAGGCTTCAGCCACACAGGAAGGCTATGTGCTCCTGGGTTTTTTTGTGCTGAGGTAATAAGATGATAGTCACGGACTCCAACTGTTGAGAATGTCCTTGGTCAACACCATACTTATCACTCTTCTTTGAAATATTAAACTATGGAAAAGCAGATCCCTCATGATTTCCAGGTGAATCAGAAGGCCAGTGCATTTATACCTATATACTTAAATAAGATCCACCAAACAAAGAATAGAATGAATTCGGCTACACTTTAGTTGACTACTTTAATGAGGCTAGCTTTAACTGTGTATCTTCAATAAAAACTTTGGACTGTACTAAGAGTTCACTGCAGAAAAACAAAATCAGTGCAACTGTATTTCCAGCTCTTCCAGTATTATCATGAGGCCACTTTGGCTAGTCACTTCCGCAGGAAGGAATCCATAAATAACACTGGCAATCTGCTGCCCAAGGACAAACACCTCCCAATTCCCCATTTTAAAAGCAAAATCACTCCTATGACAGTAGCTAAACTATTTTAGATGTGAGCTCTGAAGGAAACAGACACACAGATTCAGGAAGTTGATCCCAAAAACCTCTGGACTGCCTCTCCAATACTCTGTCTCTATACCTACTTCCACCAGGTACACAGTGCCTAGCAATGTTTCCCTGGGACACACGGCTGCCAGCGTGCACACAGCTCTGCCTGACAGACACCGAGAAATACAGACACTGCAAAAAGCCCAAAGGCCAGGGCCGAGCACACCCACGCTATGCTGTACATACCCACAGCTCGCTCTGTATTACATCCTAAGTCTACCTGGAACAGTTCTCTCGGTGCTGCTACTCCAGGTTTCCTGCAGGCAGCTGTAGCCTAGCTTCCAACAGCGTCTTTGCAGGTTTGACAACGCGGGCCCTGCGCACTCAGCCCCCGCCCAGTGCCCGCCCATACCAGCTGCTCGGAGGCCATCAGCTTGAGGAACTTCTTGATGAAGTCCACGAGGCCCTGGATGGTCCGGGTCCGCTCCACCGCCCACTTCTTGGTCCTCATGATGGGGGTGTCGCCCACGGCCTTCAGCAGCACGTCAACTGCGGGGAGCGCCCGCCGCGTCACAGCGGGCCCGTCCCCCGCCGCTCATAGGCCCGCGCCGCCCGCCCGCGCCGCCCATTGGCCGCCACGCCTGCTTGTCACCGCGCCCGCCCGCCCCCGCGGAGGCCTCCCACCCCATTACTTTTCTTTTTCGCGTCGCCCGCGGGCTCTTCGGTGCCCGGCGACCCTGCCGGCGGTGGGCCCGGTTCGCCGGGCCCCGCCGCGGTCCCGCCCTCCGCGGCCTCCTCCCCGCCGTCGCTCCGGCCGCCGCTCTGCGCCGCGGAGGGCAGCGGCTGCTCCTCGGGTTCCGCCATGATGCCGCTGCTGCGCGGGCGGCGGGAAGTGACGCCGCCCGAGGGGCGGCCTCTGCTCCGCGAGGCGTTTTGGCCCTCGTGGGACGCCGTCTTTCCCGTCACGTGACACTCCAGGAGCGTCGCGTGCGGCGCCAGCTGTCCCGCCGGCAGCGGCCGCGCCCCGCCGGTCACGTGGTGCGTGCGTCCCGCCGGCACCGGCCCGAGAGCGGGAGCGGGCTGGGCAGCGGGAGCGAGGGAGCGGAACGGGAACGGAACACAGCACAGCTCGTCCGGCCGCCGCCGGCCCCCGCTGCCGCCCCACCATGATCAAAGCCATCCTCATCTTCAACAATCACGGCAAGCCGCGGCTCTCCAAGTTCTACCAGCGCTATGTACGGGCGGGCCGGGGCTCAGCGGGGCGGGCCGGGGGGCCGTGCGGTGGCCGGGGGGCCGTGCGGTGGCCGGTCCGCGGGGTTGTACGCGAGGGTCCCCAGCCCGGCACGGCCCTGCCGGCTGCGCCGGGCCCGGGCAGCGCCGGGGGAAAGGGACGGTGCTGAGAGCGCGTACGTGAGGAGAGCTCGGGGAAAGGCGGTCGTGTGTTCGCTGGAGCTGCCTTTGGGAACTCCGGGGTGAAGGTGGGAGGGAGGGAGGAAGTCCCGTCCAGCGGCACCGTGGCTCTCCCGCGTGTGAGCGCCGCTGCCCGGCCCGAGTCCGGCTGCTGTCTCTGTGCAGGCAGGGCTGGCGGAGCGGGGCAGGGCAGCTCTGGAAGAGAACCTCTCCTCTCGGAAAGAATCGGTGCACTGTGAAATTGCAGATGACGTGAACACGTAAGGAGCTGGAAAAGAGCATTCTTGGACATGGTAGATGGCAGGCACAATGAAAATGCAGCACAGACGCTCAGTCTAGATGGAAAGGTGCACTGGAAACTCGTGATTTAGTTGAAGGATAAGAGATTTTAAGATAATGTTTTGAGCGTACTGTACCGTATTTCCTAGCAAATATGCTGAGGTCTGCTTAGGCATTAAAGTGCAAGAAAACAGTTGGCATTTCTTAAAAGTTATGTAAACAAATAACTTGTTTCCCAGCAATGCAGTTACATGGATTTGTGACCTCTTTCTTGCAATTCTGGTTATTAGAGAACTCATAGATCATTGGAAGGGATGTATCTTACTTGCACACCTCAGAGCAGAAATGATGACTGTGTCCCTTCAGTTTGCACGGTCAGGTTTTGAATTAAAGGAGTGTAACTATTTCAGGTCCTTCTTTTGTGTGACTGAGGTGGAAGGGAAAGGAGATGAACAGACGGCCAGAGGATACCAGGTTTTTCTTGTAAAACCTTTCTGATCTAGTTTCATAACTCGGCTTTGAACAATTTCTCAATGCCTGAAGTAGGGTAATGTGTTTGTGTAAACAGAATACTTTGAAGTTTTGAAAATGTGAATGGCAAATTAAAGTAAGAAACTTTATGGTGCGCAGAAACAGACGCAATCATATAGATTGTATTTTTATCTGTGATTTCAATAATGTGGATTTGTTTGTGGATCTTTTGAAGTTTATGCATTCTTTAGTGTCAATTGCACTGGTACTGGAGGCAAATCTCAGCTTTTTTCTGTGAGGGGATGCTTCTGCAGCTTTCTAGAGGGATTAATTCAGTCAGATCTGTGAAAGAGGTACTTACTTCTTTCATAATACTAACTCTAACTTTTTCAGCTGATTCATATGAGAACAGAAACTGCGTAAAGTGAAGTAAATAATATTTTGCATTTAGGTAGAAGAAACTAATTTATGGCAATTAAAATACATGTCATCATTTTGTCTTTCAGAATGTAGACCTGTGGCCATAATTTCAAAGTTAAAAATTAAGTTTCTAAAGAGCCAGAAGAATTCAGTCTCAGAAGTGATGTTTCTGATCTTCTAAGATTAAAGGTCATGGCTTAGGAGAACCTGTTGCTCATGGTGCCTTTGTATTTTAGGGTATTTCTGGAAATGTTAGATATTGTGGGATTTGAAGCTTCCCTGCTCTCTTCAATGCTTTGGGGACTTCGTTTTACTCTCAGTTTATGGATAAAAGTAGTTCAGGCTACCTTGGAAATACAAAAAAATTCAAGGTACTCGAGAACACTTCAGGGTTACTTAAAAATCCTACTTTTAGATTATTTTTTTTACAGAAGTTTCTTAAAAACAATCACTTTTTCACATTTCTCAGTAATACCTTTTTCTGCGACCTGTAAATAATGGCTTTTTGTGTTGAAATGACACAAACAATACATGTCTTATTAACTGCCAGATTTAAGGCTTCAGAAGTAGATAGTTTGAGAGTGCTGACATACTTTCTATTTTACAGTCTTGTGTGCATTGTCAATCCTGTTTAGCAAAGTGTGTTTTCTTTCACAGAGTGAAGACACACAGCAACAAATTATCAGAGAAACTTTCCATTTAGTATCAAAACGTGATGAAAATGTCTGTAATTTCCTAGAAGGAGGACTGTAAGTATCAAGTTTGAAACAAATGTCAAATACTGGCTTTCAAGTATTTTTATTCCTGATTACAGTACAACATTTCACAGCTGTCGTGTAAATGCCATGCCACTTGAGATTTGTTGATACACAAGGAATTATATCATTCTGCAGCAAGTGTGCATATTCTTTACTAACTGAAGCATAGCTATGTGTGCCAAAATGTCTTAGGCAATAAAAATTTTTTCCCTTGTGCTGTAATAGCCACAGTGCTATATCTAGTGCCATGAGTGTTTCAGATACAAAGATGGGGGAGGAACAGGCAGATGCTGTTTTGCTATAATCAAGCTGAAGATTGCTGGTCACATTTTAAGAGGCATTGGCATTTGCCATACCCACTGACTCACAGAGTCACAGAATATTCTGAAGGGACCCACAAGGTGTCTGAATTGAACAGCCTGTACAGGAATCCACAGCTCAGCCTTGGTGTTTTTAGCACCATATTCTGACCAACTGAGCTAAATCTCTAGAAAATTTAATACTTTGTAACTGTTCTTTGGCTTGAACTCCTAATATTTGAGCAGACAGCCTTTATAGTAGGATTCCGCAGCCTTTTTATCAGGATTTGGGCTTGCTCCATGAACTGGGAAGAAAAAAAAACGTTTTAAATACGCTAACTAGTACAGTTTCAACCAAGATATTTTATTAATAAAGGAAAAGCAAGGTAGGAGGAAAGTGAGACTTAGGTGTTCTGTCTCTGTAAGATACACAAAAAAATCTCTTTTGAATCATCTTCATTGTTTTTGTCATCTTGCTTTAGCTGATGAAGTTCTGAAATGGAGATGTGTTTTATTTTGAAGTATTTATTAGCCCTCAAGAGTAAATAGATAAAAGGCCACCCTCTAGAAGAAGGGGTCCGAATTGGTGGAATAAGCTCACTATCTCCAGTCTGTGACGGAGATTGTCAGTCTGTTAAATATTATATTTATAGGAATTTCTGGTTACTGGAAGTTGGTCTTCTAACGCCTAGATTTACTGTGTGCAGAGTCAGTTAAATGCTTAGCTGTACCATATCAGCTAGGTTGTCTTTTTTTCTTGCTCAAAATGATTCCTGATTTTTTACATACTGGTTTTTAAATCTAAATTATTCTTTTCTGACTACTCAACTGATGATTCTATCATCAGGTTCTTGGAGATGATCTCAAGCTGGAAGCATTCTGATTTGAATTCTGTAAGTGAGAGGCAGAAGACATTTGGAGCTTTTTAAAAATGACAGCTGCTTAACAAGAATAAACTGAGATAGAGAACAGAATTCTGGCTTTCCCCCTACTGCTCAGTTACAGGATTACCATTTCAGTATTTTTTTCAGTATTTTTTTCTTTCAGGACAGGGTTCACTTTATAGTTTGCAGTTTATCCAAAGGCCTCAACAGTTTATGTGTAGAACTATGTGTACTGCAAGTATGAAGTATTTGAAAGAATTGGATAAATAGATGACAAAAGAAGAAACTTCAATTGCTAGGTATTTCCACTGTCCTATATGTTTGTAAAAGTGTTGTCTGATGCACAAATGTAATACCTGCTCTACAGAAACAAAGGATTCCCCTTCCTTACTGCCATCCCTGCTCCCTACCAAGCATTAATGCAGAGCACTTTGCTTAAACAAGTGACCTAAATTTTTTTTTTTTTTTTTAAATCTGTGTATTCTCTCTCTGTGATAATGACAAAAATTAAAGGGATGAGTTACGTTGCACAAAATGGGTGATTGAGTTCTGGTACAGAGGTAAGGAAAAGTCACAACAGTCATGGCCATATAGGTTCAGCCTAAAAAGTAGTTTTGTTTATCTGGGAGTGGACCTCTTACAGCTCAAAGCAGTTGTCAGTGGTCTGAGGTAGATCTCCTGTGCATTATATGCCTTTGCTTGGAAGGCCGTAACAGAAGAATGGAAGAACATACTTCTTTAGACCTCTTCTCATTCAGTGCCATGATGATTAGTGAGTCCATAAAAATATAATTGCTTCTGTGACTGTAACATTGCATCATAAATTACTGCTTGAAGTATGGTCCTATTTCTCAAGATATCAGATATTTTGTAGCACAAGTGTTACATATTCTTTGTTATGAAACAGATCATAAACCTAATTTAAGGCTTTTTTGGTAATCCAAATGCCAGTCTTCGTTGCAGATTTCTTTTTTTTTCCCGTCTTGATGCTCTTCTGAGAAGGTCAGGGAGGGATTCATAGGCATACCCTGTTAATCTGTAAAGCAGATTAATCCCTGTTCAGTGCCTGCCTGCTAGTGTGGAATGAAAGTACATTTAATACCTGCTTTTTGTGATCTGTTTGAATTGATTTTAATAAAAAGGTGCACAGGTTGATGTCATTTTTTATCCATATGGATAACAATAACTGCTCGTTTGGTAAATGTAAATTGAGCTGTCTTATTACTTAGTCTTCTGTTGGAATTATATCACAAAATAAAAGTTGCAATGTAGCTCTAGCTGTTAATAATAGGCCTCCTGTTAATTGAAATTACTGTGAGGATTTGCTCAGCTTAGCCTGAGATGCTAACTAAGCTTTACTTGTTTTATTTCCACTTTAGATTAATAGGCGGATCTGATAACAAACTAATTTACCGACACTATGCCACCTTGTATTTTGTCTTCTGTGTGGATTCCTCAGAAAGTGAGCTTGGTATTTTAGACCTCATACAAGTAAGTTCTTTTTGCTGCTTTGTGGTTTTTTGGTGGTTTTTTTTTGCTTTTTATTAATTCTTAATTACTGTAATTCAACTCTAAAGTAGCTTAGAACTTAAACATTTTGCTTGCCTTTTTTTGGAAGGTTGCTTTTATACTGTGAACATACCAAGAAGTGCTGAGTATTATTTTCAGATTGTTTACAGTTTTCTGGGCTGTCTTTGGAAAAGTCGTTGTCCAAGTTGACGGGAAAGTGAGGAAACTCTTGGGAGCCTCCTGAGCACAAACTGGTTTTTGGTTTAGCTTTTCAAGACCTTTTTTTGCTGCAGGTAAAAGTGGCGCAGTTCAAACATTTGCTATGCAAGTGTGGATCATGAGAACTTTGACAGGCAATGCTCTGTATGTATATGTATATATTTATGTATATTAATATATATCCAGACTCACACACACATAGATGCATGCATATGTATACTCACAATAAATGCATAATGCATAAATATGTCCAAAACTTCTTTGGATTAAACTTTCCTTGTGGCTCATGAGCTTTTTGACAGGTATGCCTTAGAAAAGGAGGGCAAATGCTCCCCTAGGTGTGTGTTCTGCTCCAGGGGAATTGGGACGGGTAGGGTGGAAGTTGTTGGGGAGGAAGATGGTCCATAAGCCTACGTTCTTTTTCTCAGTGAGAAAGGCTTAACAGCACAAATGGTTTAATAAGAAAACTGCTTAGCAGAGCAGAGTGAGAAGATGAGTGTAGGTGGTAAATCTTACAGCCCTTCAGGTGCTGGACATGCCACCTTCATGTGGCACCCAGTGGAGCCCAGCTGGGTTTTCCCACAGTGTGCAGGGCAGCGCAGATCCTGTCTGTGGAGAGAATCTTTCCCTCTTTTGAATCTTTGAGCTATGATATAATTTCCTCAAAGGAAAACAGCTCTTGCTAAAGGATATTTTCAGGAGAACTTCTTGCTGTAGTTTGGGGTCATGGTGAGGCCATGCAGGTGGCATGCTTGCTGGTACCACGTGGGAGCTGCCTGCAGGCTCCTGTTACAGTCAGCTGGCTGAGTTTATCCCTTGGCCAAGGAATTTTTGCAGCACAGCACAGGCCTCTGTGTCTATTCAGGTTGTGTTATGTGGATGGCTAACCCCTAAACATGCAACAGTCTCTTAGTCAGAATCAGTACATTCCTTTCCTACAGTTCATTTTTGCCAAGGACATCACAGGTTATAGATTGTATTAAGAAGATCTGTCCTACTCAGCCCAGTAGAGCAGACATGACCTGTTCAAGATCACTGACACCTCAAACAGAATGTCTTCTGCAAGGCTTCCAGGTACGGTTTCCTTCCAACTCAGGGATCCATTGGGATCATTGAGTCCAACTCCTGGCACTGCCCAGGACCCCCCAAGAATCACACCATGTGCCTTAAAGCATTGTTCAAATGTTTCTTAAACTCAGGCAGGCTTGGTGCTGTTACCAATATTTAAACTGCCAAATATGTCTGTTATCAACCTAGTAACAATTACCATGTCTGGTAATATGAATGCTCCTAGGTCAAGAGGCCTCTGACTAAATCAGTGATTTTTCCAACTTGAAACTTGCAAATAAACAATTTCACTGTTAGTGAACTCAGATGTGGCAAAAAACAGTTTCACACCATTAAGAGATTTATGTCATTGCATAAAATGGATCTCTTTTACATACACACATACATATATATATCTAGGAAAGAGTAAATATAACTTACTGTTAAGCCTTTCAAAAGTTTGCACATCAAGAGAATTGATTTATTGCATAAGTAAAATCTGTCCTGACACGTGGGACTGTATCAATTGGTTATTTCACTGTGGAAACACTGTGTGTCTCTAAGGCCTCCCAGTTCCCTGCAGGCCTTTCTTGAAGCTGCATAGCTTCTCACAGACACCTCCTGCTGTTCAGAACAGCTGCTCCAATGTTGCTGTTCCGGACAGTAGATCCAGAAGAGTGCCTGTGGGAATAGGAGGGCAGGAAAACTCCCATCTGTATTCTTACATGATCTTGGGTCATCGAACATTCTGCAGTATCCGAACAGTGCAGTGTTAACAAGTAAGGTACATGATGGTTCTACCTGTCCTAGCAGTTTGTTGTACAGGGTTGCTTAGCTGCCTGTCACATATTGTGTCTTCTTACTTGGAAGAGCCAAAATATTTATGAACAGAGAAAAGAAGCATATTCATATGTAGACAGTGCAACCTGAATTGTACGTTCAAATGTTGAAGCAAATTGCTTGCCCTTACTACTACCCATGATTATATATTCAAACTTTTTGAATTAGAGAATTTAAACTTTTCTCTATAATGTTTTGCTTCTGGTACCAAAAATACTTAAGTAGATTTTTAAGATCTCCTAGTCTTTGTATTTCACATTGTTTCCAAAAATGCTCCAGTATTTAATTACATGTCAACACAATTGCGTAAAGGAAACTGAAATAATAAAAATGCTATTTCCATTTATAAAAATATTTTGGTTTTCTGACTTGTATAATTCTGTTTATAAATCATACAGTCTCACCACAGTACCTACAGCTGTTGAGGATTCAGAATTCTCTTACACATTGTCATTCAACCATTTGATTATAGCATAGAGTATTAGAGATATGTTAAATATTAAGAGTATTGAGATTAATTAAATATTTGTAATTTCTAGACTGGCTCAGAAGAAGGATCTGTTTAATCCTCTTAGCAGTAGCAATCATAATGTACCTTTTACTGAAAGAGGGCCCTCAGAAAGTTTCTTATTACTTGTCAATTACACATGCAGTGTAGACTAACAGGATATACACACGGATGTTGGATTGAGCAAATAAGCTTTGTTTCTTCCTGAAAGTGTTGAACCATTTTTATACATCGTTGTTTACTGTAGTTCAGAGATAACACAGGTAGGAGTAAGACATCTGGGCTTTGTTATGACATACATATAGTGTATGACTAAGTAAGTAGATATATATAGTAGTTTGTGATGGAAAGTAAACTGGTGAAAGAAACCTAGAACTCAGTTTAGCACTTTGGAGGTTTCTGTCATGTAAACTGGGTAAATGCATAGGAGATTGGGTTACATATGGTAGTCTGCAGTTCTTCTCAGCAGAAAGTTTTTGTTGTGATACTTAAGATACTTTTGTGAATGCCACTTATCCCTCCATTAGGTCGGAGCTGTTTCACAGGTAAGTCTTCTTGAATCAGGCTTAATGAATATGCTTTATGCATTACAAATCATGGACTCTGCCTCAGATTTGATACTGTCTTCAACTTGGATTTCTTCGTTCGAAAGGCAAATTCACTTTGTTTATTTTTGACCATTTTCTTCCTTTTTTTTCCTAAATATAAACACAAGTTTCTTTTTATTATATTTGCTTTCTTGGATTGGTAGATAGGTCAGCATCTGTGCTATGCTTAGGTTTTGCAGTCTTTTGGATTCTGTAAATTCTGTCACGCTATTTTAGCATCTTTGTGTTAGCCTGTGAAGTATAAGGTTTTTATTGCATGGAAGAAAAATACGTGTGAAAACACAACTAGCTGTAAACTGGCATAAGGGAGAAATGAAGGGTCTTTACAGTGGTACCTTAACTATGTTAGGGACCTAAGAGCCTCTGTCAGCTCCAAGAATTTGTGAGTGTCTTGGCCCATAGCTGTACTTTGAAGACATAATGAGTCAGCAAGCAGTGGAATCTGTGAGAGATCAGTCTTCCATGGGAAATTCAGTGGAGCCTTTCAAGGTACGGGGAAGTGCAGTGCACTTTGTGTAACATGTTTCTCTCAGTTCTTAAGAATAAAGGATCCTGACCAGAGATGCTTTTATGCTAATTAAATATAAAACAGAGAGGCATATGACTGAGATGAGAACTCTCCAAGGGCAGATTGAATTACTTGTGTCCTCAGGTTTACCATTGCTGTTCAGGTAAGGAAGAAGAAGGGGATATTCTTGGTATGAGTTACTCCTGTTGTTTTTAGCTTATCTTTTGTACCTGCTTTTGTTAGTATTTGACATTGTCTGTGCTCCAATGCATTTAATTGATTAAATGTTCTGAGTTTTCTGCTGCCCTTGTTATCTTCCTACTAATGTATGATTTACTCCAATTTTGTCTTATTTGCTTATTTTAAAAATAAGCCCTTCATTGAAAAGGTGATGTTTTGTTTTGACATATGGCTGAGTAGAGAGAGCTCCAGACTTGCATATATTCAATGAAAATATTGTGTTTTGTTTTAGATAATTTATGCTCCCAGTGTGTATCTGTCTTTATTAAAGCATATTTCTTACAAAAGAAAGGTATAAGGGTTTTGGGGTTTTCATTTTTTTTAATGTTTTCTGTTTACTTACATGGAGATGTGTGTGTTTTTTTTCTTTTTACCATAAAAGATTATAATTTCAAAAATGAAGCACAAGGGGGAGCTAGTAATTAATTGTGCATGCATCCTTTTTTTCCTGCTATTTCACTCCTTTATTTATGTTACTCTTCCTGTAACATCACATGGTGCATCTGAACTGATATGTGTGTGTGTCAAAGCAATTGATGTGTTTTCTCTTCAGGTTATTGATCTACAAGTCTGCAGCATTTGAAGTGATTACTGAAGTACTTAAATTTTAGCACTGCTTGCCTCAGTGTGCAATTCATTTGACTCAGCTAAAATTCAGATGAAAGTGACTCTGATTTTATTTACCTTTTCAATTGTTGCAGGCATCTTAAAACAGGCCAAGAAATGTTACTGTAAAAAATCTAGTTTTCATTGCTGACTAGTGTTTTAAAAGATTTATAATATAAAAATTTATAATAGATGTAGACCTTGTAATTTCTGGGATTATTCTGAGTGAGCTTGCTATCATGAATGGAAGATGGGGGAAATTTCCAAAGCTTCTGTGAGAAATCCCTGGTCAGTGAAAAATCTCTGTGAAGGAATAGTTAGTGCCAGCTGATTTCCCTTAGATTAAAAAATGTTTGTTGTGCATTGCTGGTCATGCATTTTAAGCAGAGATTTGTGAGTTTGTTTAGTGTGTGATGGGATTGCTGTGTAATAGGTAGAGGTTTAAAAGTAACTGCTCCAACAATTAATCAAGTGCTGCTATAGAAGCTTTATTTATTGGAAGAATGTCACAAAAGTTAAACTTTTGTGTTGTTGATGTGTGAGCTGGCATGTTGCTACTAAACACATGTGGGGGGGAGGGTGTTTTTAGGATTCTAATTTTGCCTGTGTCTTTAATGGGTTCCCTTGTTTTCCAAGGAACTAGACAGATGTCAGAGTGTGTGATCATGTGCAGAGTTGGTGACTATATAAGGAATAGTGTCAAACTCTTAGCTCTTGTAAGTAAAACTATTGGACGGAGGTTGCATTTACACTGTTTCCAATCTTCTTCTTACAGCTAATGTCAAACAGCACTGTTCTTGTAACTGCATTCTCCTAAGGTGCAAGGAAAGTAAGAGAACATCTTTGGTGATTTGTTTTGCACCACACGTTGTCAAATGTGTAGTTTTTCTACTTAACATACAAGTTTTTTTTGTTTGTTGCATCCCTTCTTTACAGAAGACTGTTATTACTGCAATGAATTAACAACTGCTTGAAGAAAAATCCCTGCTTTGCTTAGCTTCAGCATAATTTAACAGAAGCATATTCATTTTCTTAGTTACCTGGTCACCAAACCTTATTGTCCCGTGTCTGCTTCTGAATATGCTCTGTGTTCATAGTTTAAGTGACAGATTTGTATTTTTGGTATTAAAGGATAGTCTAAATGCATCATTAATTAATTTATAGTTTGATTTCAGCATTTTAAAGACTTTATTAGTAGTAGTCATAGCAAGGGCAGTGTGTGATCGTTCTTTCTTTTTCAGTTGGAGCAGGATCTGAAGATCAGCAATTAAGATGTGAAAGTAATCTTTGTTGATAAGGCGAGGTAGACACTTGGGAATGGGTGATGTCAAGCAGATCTATTTCCCTGGGTTGGTAGATATAAATACATGTCTGTAGAAGCAGGACTGCATCCACAAACAGTGGGGTGGATGGAGTTACATCCAGGTGGTGTCTGGTCAGCAGTGGTGTTCCCCAGAGCTCAGTGTTGGGGCCAGGCCTCTCTAATATCTTAATCAATGAACTGGATAAGGGGTTTGAGTGTTCCCTCAGCTAGTTTGCAGATGACTTTGTGCTCAGTGGGAATGTTGATCTGCTGGAGGGATTCAGACGGGCTGGAGGGATGGGCCAAGGTCAGTTGTAGGAAGTTTGACAGTGCCAAATGCTGGGTGCTGCCCTTGGATCACAGCAGTCCCTGCAGCGCTCCAAGCTGAGGCAGAGTGGCTGGAAAGCTGCCCAGTGGAAAGGGACCTGGGGATGCTGGGTGGCAGCAGCTGAACATGAGCCAGCTGTGCCCACGCAGCCAGGCAGGCCAGTGGCAGCTTGGCTTAGATCTGCAGTAGTGAGGCCAGCAACTCTCCTTCTGTACTGGGCACTGGTGAGGCCGTGCCTCAAATCCTGTGTCCAGTTTTGGGCTCCTCAGTACTAGAAAGACGCTGAGGGGGTGGAGCAAGACCAGAGAAAGGCAGTGGAGTGGTGAAGGGGCTGGAGCACAAGTCTTAGAAGGAGTGATGGTTGAGAGACCTGGGGGTGTTTAATCTGGAGAGAAGGACTGGAGAGATCTTATCTTTCTATACAACTATGTGAAAGGAGGTTATAGAGATGCTTCAATCTCTTCTCCCAAGAAATTAAAAATAGGACAAGAGGAAACAATTTGTGCCAAGGGAGGTTTATACTGGATATTAAAAAAAATTTTACTGAAAGGGTTGTCAGACATTGGAGTGGGCTGCCTGGGGAAGTGGTGGAGTCACCATGCCTGGTGCTTTAAAAACATCTAGATGTAGTACTCAGAGACTTGGGTTAGAGCTGGATTTGGCAGTGCTAGCTTACCTCTTTGACTCATTCATCTTCAGGTTTCCAGCCTAAACAATTCTGTGATCTGTGTCAGATCTGTGCCTGGACCTAGGCAGTTTGAAACTGGTGCCTCTCAAATACTAAGGTGGGGTTCATAAATCATGTGGAACAGAGAGTCAAAATGAGGTATTTGTCTTCCATATTGCTTCTTTAGGATGTTTGAGTTAAGAATTGAATAAAAAATTGCATACAGTGACAGCTTAATAAATAATATTAAATACATGTTGTGAGAAAATGGCCTTGAAACATACAAAACTAATTAAAATTTCCAACAAGTTGCCATTTATTTTCATGCCATTAATAAAAGATCAATAATTTTTTTCAGAAATTTGCTTTGAAGACCCTAAGCTCAATCTTATATTTAACTTAGAGAGATCTTGACATAACCCGTGTCCGTAGGAGTTATCCCTTGGACGAAGGGAGCTGTGTGTACAACTCTCTAAGGCTGGAGTCTCTAATAGCACTCACCACAAGCACTTGGTGATTGGCATTCGGGAACTTCAGGACTGCAAGTGCAGTCATCATTTCATTATCCAGACTAAGTGAGGATCAGGTGCTCTTGGTGTAGCAAGGTGCAAACATAAACACCAAGGAATCTGTTCCAGAAACACCCAGGGGAAGGTGATCTACAGACCATATCTGGCAGGGAACATCAGTGGCTGGAGTGCAGTAGCTACTTGGATTTTTATGCTGTTATATTCTGGATTCAGGAAGGATTTATTTGCCTGTGTGTGACCTATTACAGACTTCTAAATTTATATGGTAATATGCCTGACAGGATCAGGAGGTGTGATATTAAGACAGATGCCTTTTTCATCCTGGATTCAGTGAGTCTGTACTGTCCTGCACTTGGAAGGAGCAATGTTGACACTTAACAGCAAAGTTAACAGTGTGGTTAACTAGGAAATGCCTGCAATGCAGTAATTACTAAAAACAATGATGGGAAAAGCTGGTTTTCTTTGCTTTATACTTGAGTTCTAATGAAATGGGAAGGAGTACTTTAAATCACAGCTGAGAAAATTATAGTGTAGGTTATGTTACTGGTTTTTCAAGATGTGTCTGTTTTTTGAAACAGTGTGACTTTAAGCAGTTTTAACCTAAATTGGCTTGTGCATACAGTTTTGTCCTCTACATAGATAACATACTTTTGACGTAATGTTAACCACGTAATTTCGGTAGATGCCTTTAATGCCTTAAGATCTGACCGGTGTTTAATTTCTGTATTTGCTTTTCTCAAACCTCACACCTAATGGAACTGCAGAGTTTTTGTTAAGATTGACCTTTGGTGCTTTTTTCCCCTCTTTGCAGGTATTTGTGGAAACACTAGACAAATGTTTTGAAAATGTCTGTGAGCTGGATTTAATCTTCCATGTAGACAAGGTACTGTGATGACATCCTGTAATATTTTTATCAAGTAATATGTTTGTTTCAGCTGATACTTGATATTAAACTCTCCTTTACTTTCCAAAGAAGGGTAACAAAGCTGATGAGGGGTCTAGATGGTATGTCTTGTGATGTGGGGCTGAGGGAGCAGGGGTGTTGAGGCTGGAGAGGAGGAAGCTTGAGGGGGCCACGCTGCCCTCTACAACCACCCTAAGGGAAATTGTAATTGGGGGGTTGGTGTCTTCTCCCAGGTAACCATGGGCAGACAAGAGGAGATGGCCTCAAGCTGGAAACCTCTTCCCTGAAAGAGTTGTCAGGCATTGAGGCAGATGGCCTGGGGAACTGATGGAGACACCATAACCAGAGGTGTTCAAGAAGCATGGCACTTGCCGCTGTGGCTTAATCAACATGATGGTGTTTGGTCAAATGTTGGATCAGAAGGTGCATTTAATATGCTATGATTATGTAATTTAAATGCTGTGTGGCTCATTGTGTTTAAAATCTCAAAATGGACTGTCTTTTTTCAAACACTTAGAAACAATATTGTTTGAATATTCCCAGCTATAAGAAACAAGTGTTGTACTTACTAATCTAGTTTAGAGAAATTCTTTTACTATAGTCACCCTCATTTAAAAGGACTTTGGCATTTCTTGGTGTAATACCTAAAATGCTGAGAATTTAATATATAGAATTTATTCCTTCAGTTGCATTTTGTGCCTACCATTGCTTTCTGTGCAGTCGCCTCTCCCCATCTGAACATCTTTCTGTATCAACAGCAAAAGATGTCAAAGGAAAAGTAAGTTATTAAAAGCAGACTGAAAGTAATACCAAGTTAGGTATCTGAAAGAACCCAAAATACTAGTTAGATACTCTAGTAAAAATAATACATTTTCACAATAAAAGCCAGTGAAACCTTGAGTTAAAAAGCTCTGAATGTGACATTAACCAGTGCAGTGATTTTTAACCTGAGTGTAAATGAACAAAAGAATCCAATATAGAGACATGAACTTCTGTATTAAGGCAAGGCTGCCACCAACTGAACAGTAGCATTAGTTGGGCAGCTGTGACTAATTTGGTGTCATCTTGAGTCTTCCTTTTTTTTTCCCCTCCAGTTTAAATTCATCAATATTCTTATAGGTCAGAGAACAAAACAGGAAGACATATCTGTGAGAATTAAATTAAAATGTTAAATTTTCTTTAAACTGCTGATACAGTCAACTTGTCAAGAAGCATAATGCACTGAGCCTTCAGAGTTAATGCATTGACTTTCTCTTTCTTGTTAATATATTTCAAGTGTGCAAAAAGGGAAGAACAGCAGCTGCTCCTGCTTGATCTTGACAGTCTTGGTTATAATGGGTGCTTGTGTGTGGGTGCTGTTGGGGGTGAAATCTTTAAAATATTTGTATTTTGAGTGGTCTGATATTGAGAAAAGTGAGGATTGGCTGAGTTATTTGAATGAGAGTTGTTCTGTGCCTTCAGTTCTTGATGGAGCTGTGGGAGGTTGTTTTCTTGCAATTGTCTTGTGAGAGCTGCCTAAACCAACATTTTTTCTTGTAAAGAGATGAGGTGGCATGTAGGAGAGTTAAACTATGTAATCTCAACGCTGTTGCTGTGTGGTATTTTGTGTGGTATTTCTCTAAGGAAATATTTATGCTCATCAGGTGTTTATAATTGTACAGGACTCAGCAGTGACTTAGAGCTACCCGGAGCCAAGACAGATGCTTATTCAAGAATATTGATAGAGTATGATGAATTCATTTGGAGAATGGAATATAGGTGGAATGACTGTTTCTAATGTGTTGTAGCAGATGAGGACTTGGGGTGTTGGGGAGTGTAGTTCATACAGAAGAGAATTTAACTTCTCTTCATCTGTATTACAGGCAGCCAAAAAACTTGCTATAGCTGGAGCAAGACGTTTTCACATATCTTGTGATGAGGAGGGGCAGGTTTATTTCAGTCCTACTGAGTCCAAGAGCCTAATGCTTTCTGATGAAAAAGGCATCATTGAAAGCTATTATACAACTAAAATAATAGAATATATTCAGCTAGGGATGTAAGGGAATACTTTGTTTTTTTCACTGGTTTTTGGCACCTATTGAAATATCTCTGGGAGTATCATGATCTCTTGCAAGAGTTTATTATCTAACCAGATGAGTGAACCATTCAGAATCAAATTTCTTGAAGACAAGAAAATGTGTTTGCCAAATTTTCCTGAGAGAGTTTTTTTCTTGATAAATTCCTTTTTCTTTAGAATGTGCATTCTTACTTTTAGAGAGTGCATCAAATGTAAATAGGAAGCACTCTTGATTTTTGTAAAAGCACTTCAAAGTTGTTATTACACAACAGCAATTTCAAAATTTAAAAAGTTGATGTTCTCAACAGTCAGATCTCTTTTGGAATATAAGATATCTATTTGTTGTGCCTTCAGTCTTTCCCTTAAATACTATTTTTAATACACTATTGAAGCCTCTTTTGCACTTCATTTCCACTTATTGCATTTTTGTTAATGATTTTTTTGTTTTTGTTGTTTCTTGGCAATAATAGTGATTTTTTTTAAATAAGAAAAGATAGGGACAATAAGGTGTATTTGTACATTTAATATGTATATGCAATGAATTTTAATTTGAAAAGAAAAAACAGTTACTGTTTATTTTTATCTTGCTGCTGCTTACATATGAGCAAATGTGTTTAAGAGGAGGGAGTCAATGGATTATGATGATTATGTAACTTTATTAGTTAAGCTGTGCTTTCCTTTCATATGGAGATTACCAAATAAAATTAATTAAATGCTGTTATTTAGAAAGCTGTCCCTTTAGAATAAAAGTGGGGAAAGACAAAATAGTCCAGCTTCTTTAAAGCCACCTATGCTTTGAATGTTTTAAATGCTGTGTGTTAGACTTCACTATTGCATTCTGAAAGTAGGAAAAAAGACAGAGAAAGATAAGCATGACCCAAGGTATGGAGTGGTTTGCACTGAGGAAGAAGTTAAATATTCTAGAGTCTGGAGGCAAAGGAGTAACAACTATATAGGAGGAAAGGTTTTGGAAGAGCACAAAAGGGCCTGAAGAAGGGCTGTTTTAGAAATACACTAAAAAGTATCAGAGAAACAAATTCAATTTTGTTTTTTAAGTATGACACAAAAGCAAGGACTGTGTTGGTTTTTGATGTACTACCTCCTGATTATTTGATTTAAAGATTTACTTCTATCCTCAATCCATGGGGAAATAGGGAGAATGTCCAAAATAGTTGCTAAAATTATGCTTTTGAGATACCAGATTGTACATGTTTATTTCTGAAAAGTAGAAAAATACTCCTTGTCTTCAGATTTAAATACTAATATACTATTAAAATATTATACACTACATGATAACTCTGGATTTTTACTAGTAAGTGTGCAGAAGGATGCCTTTTTAAAAAGAAAAAAACCCAAACCAAGTCTTATTATGGTTTGAGTGCAGACTCTGAGGCAGCAATTATGAACCAGAGTTTTTATCCTCAAGTCAGGGCTGCAGGGAGGAGATATATTCAAACATACCCATTTCAGCAATGTCCTCAACTGTTTCCTGTGCTTCTGCAGTTTGAGTCCTAGCTGTCAGTGTTAGCTGTAGATACTGAAGACTCCATATTTGTCAGGTGTCTCGGGAATGTCAGTTCTACTTCTGAGCCAAATCTTGGGATCTATGATGGGTGAGCAGCAGAGTCTCTTCCTTCTCAAGTGTAGCCCAGAGGAGTGTTTGCACATCTACTTGTGAGCAATTTGTTTAGTCTTGTAGGACCTGCTTCCTAGAGGTGTTACTGCTGCTGATGCTAACTCAAACTCTAATAATTGGATAGAAAATGGGAACAAAAAAAGAGGAATGTGAAAGTTTCTTAGCATGTTTGTAAGTGGTGTGAACAAAGAAGATACTAGAGAAAGGAATATGAAATTATGAGCTTTGTTTCCAACTGCCTTTAGATTAAGTGCTAACATTAATTAAATGACTTACAGAATGTTTCCCTGTATCAAGGTACCTAGACCATTTTTTCAGATTGTATGTAGGATATTTTGCATTTTTAAATTCTCTTTTGGTGTCTTTTAGGTCCATAATATATTGGCTGAAATGGTTATGGGTGGAATGGTTTTGGAGACCAATATGAATGAAATTGTCACTCAGATTGATGCTCAAAATAAACTGGAGAAATCTGAGGTAAGAGTGATGCACTGTGTAGTTTCTAAACTAAAAACAGGGGTTATAGTAAATGCATGCTATATAATGCTCTTTGTCCTTCATAGCAAACTAAATAGTATAAGCTACCTGCTTATAGTACCAAAAATTTGCAGTGTATCTCAGGGTGCTGTACCTTTCATTAGAAGTAATAAACTGCTTAGTCACTGCTGGTTAGATTTTACTTTTTGTATCTAATTGCATTGTGCACCATTGCTATTAAGATACTTCCGTAGTTCTCTAAGTTTCTGTTACAGAAAACCTTTTAATTCCAGCCTACTTGTTATGCTGGACTAGTGACTTCGGCCCTTAAATGAAATCAGAAGAAACGAAGTGTGTCTTCAAAGACTACATATTCCTGTCTGATAGTATGCTTCTAAGCACCTGAAATAAATAGCAGCAGAAATACTGCAACACAAGGAAATAAATTGGACTGAAGTGGACTAGACAGACTTTAAAGCCCAGTTTTAGACGCTTCAAAGTAAATATGAATTCTGCAGTTTTGATAATCAGAGCCTTTGGTCTTCAATAAGTGAAAAAATTATATTCTGTATTTGTCTATAATGGGCTAAGTGAGGGATCACATAAGAGTTTTGTGAATCCTTTTTCAATTTAATAATTGTTTAATTTGTGTTTAGGAAAGACATTTAGATTAAGAAAGGATCTTAGAATTACTTTATTTTTGATACAGTATATTACTGTCCCTTTAACGTCACCATATGTGCCTTGTAAGTCAAAATGCTGCTGCTAATATATCTTTGCTAAGTCTGTGCTGGATTCTAAATGATGGGAGTAATTCCACAGAGGAATACATCAAAACAATAATATCCAAGTTTCTAAACAGGCCTTTGCTTGAATTGGAGACTGAATTTCTGAGGTTGGAAGTCAGCTGAGCAGACTTCCAGGTGGCATAAATATGAGCTAAATGGCATTTTAGGAGAGGACCCAGAGAACTTCTTAGTTCTAACTGAAGTGCAGTAAAGAGAAAAATGAATTTTTCTTTTTTTTTTGTGGTACAATGTATACTGTTCTAATTCTGCAGTCTCAAGCTGTGCCACCTCAAGTTTTTTTAATGCATTTAATTCCTTGTTTTGCACAACTTCCAAACTGTATCCGGTCAACAACATGTGAAAAACAAGAAAAAGCTTGGTATGATGTGACACAATACATAGCTATATGCATCTGAAAGGATTCTAGAGTAGATTTTGAACATGTCCAAAGTATTCATTTTAATGTTTTTCTCGCACTCAGAATGAAACACTGATCACAGAGATGAATATTTGGAGTTATTTTCCTAAATTTTTATTATATTTTAATAACTTCTGTATACTTACACTTTTCCTTATTTGATAAAAATGCAGTCGTCTTCCCAAAAGCTGAACTTGCTCAGCAGTTGTGCTCTACCATGTATTATGTACATATCAGTTCTGTCTGAAAGCATTTAATTATGTGAATTCTGTTACCAAATCAACTGTAGACCAATCTCTGACAAGTCTTCTGAAACATGTCGATTCAGTGCAGCCAGCTGCAATACTTGCTGTGTTCCGTTATTCATCAACAAGTTGTTCTCTCTTTTAAGAGCTTTTAGTATAAAAGTAGATGCTAGATGATCTGAAAAACCCCACGCAGAACTTGAAGTATATACAAAGTGAAAGGAACTTGTTCCTTTACATTCAGCAATGAATTATAGAAAGTAAAGAAGTAGCAGTGGTAAATTAAAACACTTGGTGGCTGGGATGAAGCAGAACATTTCGCAGTCTGCTCCCCACAAATACATTCTTTTTCCTTAGTTCAGTGACTGTTTCTTTTCAAATTTAACTGTTACTGTAATGCTGAGATACATCACAATACTTGATAAATGTTTCCTTAGATCATTAATCATTTGTTTAATGTATATCCGCAGAAAATTCCTGATTGCTATTTCTTTTCTTTTTGTCTTTTTGATCAAGATTGTAATTCTTTGAGTATGTCTTTCCTGAACACATATTTTCAAGACACAGGCAAATCCTTGTAAATCAAAACAAGTAATAACTTAATAAATTTTGAATGCTGGTCACTAAGAAACCAAAACTAGTGAATCTTCTTTGTTTTCTTTAATTAGAAGAAATAAAATATAGAAAGTAGTCTTAATGTAGTCTGTAGTATATAGGAGTGCCATCTGTGCCCCACAGCACTGTTGCTTTAGTCCCTTTGGCTTTTAGACCACCATCATGCCTCTTGCATTTACAAAGCAGCTATTTAAGGTTAAGTGGCCTTTACTGTTATAGCTGAAATGATGAAATGAATAAAGCTGTAACTGAGTTACATTTTCAGAAATACTTCAGTTTGTCTTGTGCCCATCGGGCTTTCAGTAATATGCAAAATTTAGCTATTTAACATCAGGTATTTGTTTAGTTATGTGCTAGGTTTATTAACAGGCTTTCGGTTAAAATTTAGTAAAAAAGTCTGAATATTTACATGTATTTGACCAAAATTATCAGCTTGAGGAATTTGTGAATATTTTCAAGAGCGATTAATTAAACTGCTATAAGAGAGTCCCTAGCTTTGATTTGTGATTGAGCTAATACTATTTGGATGGGCTACAAAAGAAACTATTTGTACCCTGAGAAATGTTGTATTATATGCATTTCCCTGGCTTTCAGTTTAGTGTTAATCTGTGAATGGGTTTCTGGTCAATCCTGAAGCCAAAGAATCATTGTGATAAAGGGAGGGAATTCTTTGGGAGAGGGGTCATTGGGATTTTATTCTGAGCTTCTGGAAGTATTGTAGGTAAACCTGGGCTACCTCTTCTCCATTTGGAGTGTTCAACTGCGTGTAATTTAGACTTTTAAGCTGGGCCTCATTTTTTTCTGAACCTCCTGATCTTTTCTGGCTCTTTCCATTCTTCTCTCTTACAGACCTTTATCTTTCAGTCTCCCAGACAGGACAGGTAGACAAAGGTATTGCTGACTTTTAGAAAAAAATGTACTTTTAACAAAAAGGGAAAGCAAAATGATGTCAAAGGCAATAAATTACGTAGGCCAGACTCAAAAATTATGTGTAAAAATACCCATACTAGTCCTTGTAGCCTACTTTTTGTGCTAGTTTCTTGTAGTTCCCTCATCTTTTTATTGGCTATAGTGTATTTTACTAGCTTTTCATTGACATCATATTTTTTATTTTATTTCTCTTCCTGCATTTTAGAATTTAACTTTTCTTTGTATCATTGTTAACAAACAAAAGAATATGAACTTGTGTTAATATTAGCCAAAAAATCCTGCTTAATTAATGTCAATAAAAAAGGAACACGCAGATAACAAAATAAGATATGGTGACATAATACAAATAACTCCTTTGATGGGAGAATTTTGTACCTGATAACCTAAAATAAATAATACAAACTCTCTTACTTCACCAGTTAGTATTTCCAGATAAAAACAAAGAACTTTTACCTGCTTACAAAGAGAAGTTTCAGAAAAAGCTTCAGGTGAATGAAATGTTAAAAATCCCACCACCAAAACCAGCAAACTGAAATCGTTCTGTATAGAGAGAATAAAATTATCAGTGCAATTTGTAAAGATGATGTAGAATTTCCAAAGTTGATGATCCAGCCTTAAGGATGTTGAACATCAAATGAGAAGGGCTGTCAGCATGTACTCAACTTGAGATGTACATTTGCTGTCATTATAATCCGAATGTCCAGATTTTGATCTAAGATATCCCAGCAACTGCAGTCCCTGAACATGAATGTTAGCAAAGAACAGAAGAAGGAGAAGGAGACTGTATGTATGACTGTATCAGTTTATGGTCAATGTCACCTGCCATTTGTTGTTTGAAACATTTAGTTTAGTTTAACAGTTTGAATGTCGGTCAGTGTTAATGGCAGTACTTGAAAATTAATTTCCACTTGTTTTAAGTCTCTGTGTATTCAAACTGCAGGTATTTTAAACAGGTGGAATCTTAAGCAATTGAAACTTATTTAATTTATTAATAGCTTTGCTCTTTACTTTTTATGTGATCTTCCTAGGATAGTGTACTACAATGCCATTAAGATTTAACAAATATAACTCCACAATTGGATTTAGTAGCACTGAGTTGTAAAAGTATTAGCTAAAAATAGTTCTTGTTAACATGCAACATTTTAACCTAAATTTGAAGTATGCTACAGCGCATGAAGAAAATCAAGGACGTGACCTTCCTCTGCCTAATACATTAACTAACACTTGTAAGATACAGTCTGTATTTTATTGGTAACACTAGGGAGCTTGATCTCAGATTTTTGGTTTGGTTTCTTTTTTGTTTTTGTTTTTCTTTTTGTGCAAAGCTACTTTTCTTTTTCTGTGTTCTGCTCACACATATTCTGTTTTTATTTTTGGGTCTGGCAATGAAAAACAAACAAAGAAATAATTAATCATTCCCATCCATTACTCTTTTTGTGATTCAAGTGCTTAAAATTTCTAAGAGTATGTCTTAAGTCTTCTTATCTGTTTGGCCTCATTTTGATATACTTGCAGACTTCATTTTGGTTTTTCTCTAATTACGTTCATTTATTTAACCTCATGAGCAGGGGACATGATCATTCCTTTATATTATGTATTGCATCCTTTCATGATTTCATATCCCTGCTGCTTTGAAGTCATACTTGTTCTGAAAAGAAGCATTGCTATGAAGCACCAGCAGCAGAGAGGTCCTAGTACCTCTGAAGTATCTGGAAAAGGGTGGCTTATTTTGCAGTGTTAGCCTTCATTATTTTGTTTTCCAGTAGGCTGTGGTTTTCGATATATTTATTTTAGTGCTAGCTAGCTCTGTGTAGAGTTATTTGGGATGATAGTTGTAACATTTTTATTTGTATATGTATATTAACAATGTTTGTGATGTGCAGTACTTTACCCAGATTATCTGAATTTCTTTTTAAAGAGTAAAACAGGGTTGCTGGGATCACTTTGATATGAAGGTACCAGTTGGGCATTCTAAGAAAGGATGATGATGAGAACAAAGAAAATTTATTCCTATAGTGGTTAATAATGACCTCAGTAAATTAATGACAGCTTATGTTTCTCACTTGATAGATTAGGACCGGTAGAGTAAAAATCCTGTTATTAAATGCATCTATGTCAATCTATGAAATAGTGTCTTCTTTTGCATATATGGTATTGCTCTCTAAAAGTATATGAACATGTTTACAAGCATTTTTTGCAATAATGGAACCTAAAATTTTAATATGCAGCATTTCAACATTAGAGCACATCCTTCAACAACAAATGAAATTGAGAGTACAAAGGAGCTGCGGCAAAACTGTGTTGTATTGGCTTATTGTTATACCAGCTGTGTGCAATTCATATTGTCTTTCTGAAATTGCATTAATTGTCTTAAGAAGCTTCACTTTCACTTGCTTCAGTCATTTGCTTGCTGTGACAGACAATTCATCATTCTCGCTGCATGTTTAAGGCTTGCTACATGTTTTGTTTTTTCAAGTGGAACAGTTTTTTCTTGGTGCATCACCAACTTACCTGCTGAATTACATGATAAAAAAGGCAGGTGGAACTTGTTGAGTTCAGTGTTACAGGGGAAGCTGTATTAATCAGGTGTCTCTAGAAAATGCCTCAAAAGCACACAGGGCTCAAAGTACTACTTGTTGTACCTTTGTGTTTGTAAATACAGTTCGCTTCCAGTAAAAGAAATGGAAGGACTGCTACTAGTTCACTGTCTGACATGCTAAAAAGGAGTGCTAGGGAGTTAAAATATAATAGTGTTTGAATTGTATTTGTTATCCAGCTTGGGAGTTCAAGTGCTTTTCAGTCATTTGATCCATTAGACATTTTTTATGAGCTGTTTGCTCTCTCTTAGAAATGCTGTGTAAATGTATTGTGCTTGATAGGGTGGACATTAATTGTGCTAAATAGCATTCTGCCATGCATTTTATGTATACACTATCCTTCAAACTCACTTAATACAGAGAATTCCAGGAGAAGAGAATGTAATAGCTTGAAAATCTCTACTCCAGCATCTGATAGTGAAAGATAATCTCGCTGTCAAAAAAAGAGGTAATCTGACAATCAGAGCAGTTTTGTCAGGGATCTTCACTGATCTTGATCCAGAATGGTCCTCATGAAATTTGGAAGCTATGACTGTGTAGGGGGGTGGAAGGGCAGTGGTTGTGTCAATTGTGGTGTATTTAATAATTCTCAATTGTGTCTCCATTGTATCCTATGCCATTGGGGCAGGAGGCAGGGACTGTAAGTCTGTATAAAGAGGATAGTAGCAGGTAGGTAAAAATAATAACCAGTTCTACTAAAAATGTTATTTGTCCATTAAGAATAAATAACTTCCATTAAATTAGGGTAAAGAATCTCCATCCAAGTCACCCAGAAGGCACCTGTCCTTTGAATTGCCAGCCATGTGCTACCATGTCATTACTTATTATACTTTTCTGGTTTCCCACTGTTTCAGTTGTAGATAGTATAATTCATTGCTTTTAATTAATATTTTCATCTTCTCAGTGGAAAACAGTTTACATTGCCCCATTTTGCTTTATGAATTTTTCTTCCATTACTGCAAATAGAATTTAAAGGATTAAAAGCATTTACTCTTTTATCCAATAAGACTTCACTGAAAGTTGCCTCTTGATTTAAAATTAGTATTTCCAAGTTCTCAGTTATAACAGGATGGCGTTGGGCATCTTCATGCCTTCTGCACTGTTTTTTAGTAAATAGAAAGAAATTGCAGTGTTAATATTTCTCCTTTAAATTATTGCAGATTCAGGGGTATTCAGATTTTAGATACTTCCATTTCTTAGTACTGCTAGTGTTAGGTCCAGATTTTCCCCTCTAAGAAAATGCTGCTATTGAAAGAGCCTCTGGGATGGATGGCCTGATAGATTTGGTGATGTTAAGGAAAATGAAGGAAAAAGAGGGTTTCAAAATACTTTTTTGCACCTTTTGAGTTTTACTTAAGTCTGTTCTTCTGAGAACAGATAATTCTGTTGATAATTCAAAGTAAGAGTAAATTTGATAGCATTAGAGATGCAGTTTTCTCAGCTATCTTCTCTGCCACACATGCTTTTCGCAACTGTGGCGTGTCTCACATAGGAGGGTTTGACAGGGAAGATATGGTTAATAGATGACTTAATGGCTTTCTGGTCTCTGTTTCTTCTTCTGGGAATCATCCCATGACTAAAGTCTAGGGATTTATGACGTTTTAGCCTTTCCATGTAAAGGGTTAGCTCAAAATCAGAAACTTCAATCAGTTTTATTTTGACTTGGGTTATGTTTTTAAGAGAAGAAGGAAGAACAGTAGGTAGGATGTTAAGTGAAAATCTTATGTTAACTTGACTTTATTTCATATAAGTGAGTAGTAGAAAGGAGAAAATATTTTTTTTCATAGCCTTCAAAAAGTAGAGTTGTTATCTGAGAAGTGTGTGGGGTGTCTGTCTCCTTTTGTGAAGCTGACCAGGTGAACACCATGGAAGTCAGGTGCACTCCTCAGTAGTTTTACCCTGCACTTGCAGTGAATTTCAGTGAAAACCAAGAATCTGAAAGGGTTATACTTTGAGTGGTAGTCACGTACCAATGCTTTTTAATAATCAAATATGACACAACCTTTTTTCTGCTTTCATTTTGCTGTATTTCTTGTTCAGAAATACTTTGTGTGCAAATGGACTGGTTTCTTCAGTCTTTGAAAAACCTAAAATTAAAGATCTTCCATTTCTACCAGTTTAGTCTTTTTTTAAACTAAATCCTAGCATCTGGCTTTGTTTCTTGTGGATTGCTCCTTTTTACTGGACCTGTAAGATGCCACACTGTAAAACTAGTAAATCTTACACTGTGATTTTTATTGTTTTTGAATATTTTTAATCTTACTTTTAAAACATTAAATTTAAAGTTAATTCTTTTTACTTATTCAGAAAATTTGTAATATGATATCTTTTTCTGCTAATAAGAGCTCTGCTTATAAAAATGCCCCCTGCTTTTTTATTTCCTTGCAAAAATAAAAATTATTTTTACACTTCTGTGGCAAGCCTGAAGTAAAACCACACTGCAAATTCTAAATCTACATAGAGAATCTGAACTTTTAGGAGAAACGTTTCCATACCTAAAATTAATAGTCTGGTTTTTTTTCACAACATCAAAAATAGTAGTAACACTTAACAGTCTTGTTTTAATAGTCCTTAAAATAACAATGTTTTGAATAGGTGTTTTCAGAAGCAATAGGGAAAGATGATTTTGGTATGTCTTCAGGCCTCTGAGCTGTAAATTGTTAGCATTTCATAATATACCCCAGTGTGCAAACTTGGCAGCTGCTTTAACTAAAAGCAGAACTAAATGGAAGTCAGCAATTCTCTATTGTAAAACTTGCATGTTTATACAGAAAGGCTCTAGTTTTGTATGCAAAGACACTGCATGCAGTAGAGAACTTTAATAAAAAATAGGTGCTGTGTAATGGTTTAATTTGGCATAACTGTGTTGTTGTGTAATGCTCAAGGGGATGCAGATATGTTAGTGTATAATTGGTTACTGTGGGAAACAGGTTATTCTAGTTTGGCTGTCTGCATGCTCTTCATCAACCACAAATGCAGGGTGTTTATCCTTTTCATCTTAGTCTAAGCCACCTTGAAATACCTCTGTGTGTACATATATATGTATTTTTGTATGTGTATATATATACACACACAGGTGTGTGTGTCTGTGTCTGTGTTCATTGATTTGACTGACATTCAGCACCTTGTTACTTTGAGGTTACTTACTCTGAACCTGTAACCAATGCTAGTCAAGTGTGAACCACGTGGACTTTTAGAATAGGTGAGAGGCAAAGGCAGCACACTGGACACCCAACACCTTGAGACTGTCTGTTCTGTGACGTGCACATTACACGTGCTTGGATAAGCCTCCTGTTCCTTCCTCTCATACTTTTCCATCCAATTGACATTACATGTTTTACCATATAAAGAGAAATATGTGAACTGTTTTCTCTTTCTGGTTTAATATTTCCAAGTAACCCATTTCATTCCAAACACAATTACCATGTGGTTTTTCTAATTGTGTAACCATGGAAATACTTGAAAAGTTAGTTGTCTGTGTAGATTGCTGGTGAACCTTCTTGTGACTGACTTTGCCTGACTTACGTTTTTCCTCACTTTATATACAGGCTGGTTTAGCAGGAGCTCCAGCCCGGGCTGTTTCAGCTGTAAAGAATATGAATCTGCCAGAGATCCCAAGAAATATAAATATTGGTGACATCAGTATAAAAGTACCAAACCTGCCCACTTTTAAATAACATGGCTACTCCAGGTAATACCAAGGAAGAAATGTAATAAAGATTTACTGCATAATTGTTTACTAAATAAACATGTCTTACTTTTACTGTTTGGATAAAACTCAAGGTACTGCATAGACATAACCTGAAAAATCAGTGTGTAGAGTTGAATGTTGCTTTTGTCTTGTTTGTGAAATTAAAGGAAAGGGGTAGTTCCCATGTGATTTCTAAATTACATTCCTATGCCCTTGCAAGGCATATCACTGTGTCTCAGCTGCTGCAGTATTTTGGGGAAGTATTTAAGATGTTCTTTACTTTGTATAACCTATAATGCTGATGTTTTTTGTATATTCACCAAAGTCTATAATTAGTGTGTTCTTTAACTACTTCTGTTTGTCATGATTATTTAAGACCTAAGTGCAAATGTTGCATGAAAACATTTAACTCATGTTTTGTTAAATAAAATCATAACAAACTGGACTTCGAAATACCTGTTTTTTGAAGTCTACTGTTTGCAATAAACCACATTATTTCCTATTCATGGAGCCAATTGACTATATGTTGACAAATACTGTTGTAGCAGACATTGATATTGTAGTTTAATCTCTGAAGGGCTTACACAGGGGTATTATGCTGAACATATTGGCTCTTTACATTTCTCACAAAAGCTGTTCATTATTATACTGAAGGAAAAACTGCCTTTACCGAAGATCTGATGATTTTTGTTTACATATACATGTTGATACTTACACAATCTGATAGACTTTCACTGATGGTCTGACTTTGTCTAGGGGAAAAAATGGGCCCTGTGATTGCTCTGTCTTGTGAGAAGCACAGAATGGGCTGAGGACTTTATATTTGGGCAGCTCAAACCAGTACATGAGAGTCTATCAAATAATGTGATAAAGAAAGGCACTCTGGAAAGATAATTGGGGATACTTTAATAGGGCCTCTGTGCCTGGTGACATTGTGATTCTCTGCTTTGAGAATTAGATTTATGAGACACATAGTATTGTCAAGATCTGAGAGAAATCTAAGTGCTATCACCTCTGCGTAAGTTGCTCAGCTCTTAAACTCTTCTGTGATTTAAAAAACACAAAGGGGGATAGTGATTGTTTTTTATAATCATGCTTTTAAGCTCTGTGTGATGTACAAGTCTGTTTTAATGAATAATAAAAATATCATTGCGATATTTAAGAATTCCTGCAAAGCCTTTTTTTTTTCTCCAAAGAAGTATTTAGTTGATACTGTATATGAAAATGCAATAGTTTTCTATCAAGAACAACAGATTTCAGTCTGAGATGTCCTGCCTTATTTCAGATGTAAAGTAAGTGTTATTTTCCTTTCAGTTCAATATTAAGACATACTCTATAGAATGAGCTTTGAAGCACATCGTATTTTCTGTTTGATCAACAGTAGCTAACATCTTTGGGAGTATTTGAGAAAGAAAAGAAAAGAGGAATTATTTCTGAGGTAGAAAATCTTATGTGATCCAGCGAATTTTAATGTATTGCGTAAGGTGGGAGTGGGAAGAGAACAACAACTTCATGTATATACTTGGTATTCCATTTAGTAAACACTAACATACACCATTTTAAAAATTATTTCAAAAGCAGTTATTCTCTCCCAATCTCTCAAAAAGAATATTTCTTCTTCCAATGAATTTCTTAATTTGAGGCTTCTGAAAATTTCAGATGGGGTTTCAGTAATTAAATGCCTCTTTATCATTTTGACCAAAGAAAGTGAGAGAGTAGAATATGCAGCCATTTTTTATCCCCCATATGAGGTATTCCTCAGTATGCCCAAGTTGGATATCTTAGCTAGTACAAAACTGAAACTCACCATTTGCAGTTTTGCCTACTTTTGTTTGTCTTCTTAATGCATGGCACATGTGACGTTGAAAGTAACGATGTTGAAAGCTTTCCTCATTGTTGCCCCTGTTATGATATGGTTAGGTCTCCTGCCAGAGGAATAGGATGTTTTGAAACATTTGTTACTCTGACCCACAGAATGTTCTGTGGGCTGCTTGTTAAAGCAACTCAGAATTTCAGAAATTCTTCTGAGTACTCTATTTTTGTCTCAGTTTCTTCCCCCTAGTTCTTTTTCAAATTTGTAAGATTATGTAGTTAAAAATTTTTTCATTCCTTGCAGAGAAATATTTTCTGTCTTTATTTGGATGAAACACCCAAAAGAAAGTATGTCTGAGATGCATCTTGACATGAAGCATATTTCAGATTTTCTCACCTGTCAATAGCCAGCCTGTCTTTCATTTTAGTGAACTAGGTTCAGTAGTTTCTTTGCTTTTAACAATTATATGGCTATTCTAAATTCTTTTGGTTTAGTTTTGTGGGTTTTATAACTGTTGTATATGCTGCTTTTTTTCTGATCTGATGTGTCTTCTGCCAAAAGACTTTTTCTCTGGACAGCTCTTCTGTTGACACCAGGCTTTTCGTGAAGATTCTCTGTGACTAGCCAGCAAATATTTAATGCGTGGCTGTAGCTTAGAGTTGGTGCATCCTTATTCAGAAGATCTTTAGATGGGAAAAAGCACTTTATTAGATTTTTCACAGTAAAATTGCACTCCTTTCTAAGAGAAATTCTCATCCATAGAAGAGCCTCAATGGTAGCACTTTCCCCTCAGAATAAACACTGATGTTGTGACCATGTTGGCTTCCTCTGGGTAGCTGTCTGCTTGCCGCCCCTTTGCCAGAGGAATATCTTTACTTTGCCTGGGGAGGTACTGTCCTCTTACCATGTCGTTAGACACTGCTGGGAAGAGGGAATACTTGCTTAATAGAAATTATGGAAATGGTATTCTTTCCCTTTACCTTCTAAGGCTTGCCTTTTATCATATTCAGATATTCATAGGCTTGCCACAGTATTGATCTGCTTTTGTTCTTCACCTTCATGAGAATGATGTGCCTTTTGAATTCTTTCTCCTGTTTCATCAGTTTCCTCTGAACCACTGCTTAGGATTTAAAATGGAAACAGAATGTGGGATCTAAATGTTTAAGCTCTTGATTATGTATTTAAATGGTTTTAATACTTTTGTAACAGAAAAACCCACCCTTACCAGATATAGGTGATTGTGTGGATATTTATGTGTTTATATGTGTATGTCTATATGACATCATTCTTTTGCATGTTGTTAAAAAGGAGAAAAGGTCATTTGAGTCATCCGTCACCTGTGGGACACAGACAACTAATTTGCCATTCTCCAAATCCACAGGGCCTGCCTTTGAGTGGTGTTGTTAAGGGTACCAGCAAGTGTAAATGAATCTCTGAAAGCCATTTTTCCTAACTCCGGGCTTCTCTTAGAACTGCAAGGTGGATTCTTCTAACCAAACAGAAAGGGTAGAAAGGATAATATTTCAATAGAGTGAGTGGGCGTTATCATCTGCCTCCTTAGACTTGGAACAGAGCAGCTAGTTTTCTACTGGGGCAGGGGCAGTAAGTACTGCTGAAAAAACATCTGACTCTTCTTTTAATAAAAATGAAGTATCTCATGTTGGCAGAGAATGCTGTCTGTGGTATCAGCAGCACAGAAAGTACATGTGCTGTGTCATTGTGTTCCTCTCCTCCCTGGACACCACTGTTTTGAATACATTATGGGGAAAAGGGAAAGTTTTACGTTACAAGTGTATACAGAATTCCCCCTTTTTAACAGCTGTTGCTGCTGAGGTTCATTCTGCTTGACATGGGTAGATGGAAGAAAGTCATTTGTTGCAAGGAGAAACAGGTTCAAGCCAAAAATTCAAATTGGTGCTGCCTTCCTGTGAGCACATTTGACCTTTTCTTTCTAGCAGCACGTTCCAATAAATGCTAAAATTAGCCTTGAGTTTTACTTACGCCTATGATAGTGAAATGAGAACTTGCTAAAGTTCTAAAGGTTACCTCATAAAACTCCTTGATACAGAATTACAGCATATGCAGGGCAAACCAAAGGAATTGTCTGCTTGTAACTGTTAGAGAAAAACAGCCTAGGCCTTGCAGAAAATATATTTCTCAACTTCTGCATAGATTTTTCATAATTTTTAGGAAGAACAAGGAAAGCAACCGAGTACTGCCAAAACCTGACTAAAGGTGAACAATTAACTTTACAAAAAGTACTGTTTTGTTATTTGCTGCTAACAATTACCATAACAAATCATAAATCTTTTTCCATTGAGGGAAGTTATCTGTCCTTGAAAATTTTGGTGTTCAGTGATTACCCCAAAATACTCAGTGCTTTCATTCTATGGGGAAGAACACAAGGGTAGTCACTCTGATTATTATCTTGGCAGCCAGATCTCTTGTGTGCTGGTTTTGGTCTCGTGGCACAGTAGGAGTGCAATGTGACCCGAGAGCAACCGCAGGTCAAGGCACCCTCTCTCTGCACAGAGCAAATATGCCTGTGACTGGAATCGTAGGGACATTGGAGTTGATCCTGTGTCCATCCCATGAGGCAGACTGACAGGCACACTTGTGTGATATGTTCCACTGCTTTCCTGCCCATTTGGGCTCTTCAGAGACTCGGCAGCAGACACAGACTTTGGGTGTCCCTTTCTGTGCTGGCTCTGCTGTAAAACCAGCCAGAAAGGCTGCTGGAGGTGTGGAGCAAATCCCTCTCCAGATTCTTTGTGAACAGGACTATAAGCTTCTTACCAGAGCTGCATATAAACACAGGCCTGTAACGACAGCAGCCTGTGAGCTGCTTGGATAGACACCTCTCTGTAGTCCCCTCGGTTTTTGTTAGCTTGCACAGATAAATCCATACACCTTCTCGTAAGATTGTTGACTCGGCCAGCAGAGTTGCTGTGGAATGTGAGTCGAATGTCACAGTTTGGGATGTGTGTGCTGGGTGACTGCATGACCTGTGTGCATGATAGGATACCTCTGTGATCTGCACTCTCTGTGCACCTGAAAAACTTCACTGGTGTAGCCAGTGTGTAGCACCCACATCTTCCCCCCTAAAGGCCCATCTGAACAAGTCTGGCCAAGCAGTCTGCAGAAGAGAGAAGCAAAACTGAAATGGGCTGTGCATTTAAAATAGTAATTTGCAATAATTTGCTCTGCTGATATGTGCCAGAACAGCAAAAATATTTCACAATTCAAACAGCCATCCCATTCCTGAGTGAGGTGCTGTTTTACTTCATGTGAGAGTTGTTTGGGTCACAGGACAGAACTCATAATTCCTTTCCTTTCCTGAGACACTGAGATGTTACCGTGTCATTGCTTGCCTGCCTCTCATACAAAGTGTGTTTCCACAGGCAGGGAGGTCTGTCTGTCTGTCTTTTCTGTGTTTTCAGGACAGCCAAGTCCAGCAGGGCACATCCTGGCTGCTGTCCCTCCTCAAGGTGTTGAGCAGTCATGCAAGATGTGATTGTGCTGCCAACATGTAGAACATAAATTCAAACTGAGAGACAGTGAGTTGAGGTTGCATATTAGGAAAGCATTCTTTGCTGACTGGGAGGTGAGGCAGTAAAACAGGTTGCCCACAGAAGTTGTGGATGCCCCACTCCTATAAGTGTGTAATGCCAAGATGGAAAGAGCTCCGGGCAACCTGGTTTAGTGAAATTTGTCCCTGTCCATGGTGGGGGAGTTGGAACTATGTGACGTTTATTGTTCAATCCCAACCATTCAGTGATTCTGTGAATATGTTTCTATATAGAACTATGTTAATACAGACATCTGCATCCTGGCTGAGGTTTCCCTTGCTACTTTAAAGTCAAGGGCAGGTGAAGGCTGGTTAGAGACATGCCGTTCTGTGGACCTGCCTGCTGGAACCGTAGTGCTGGCAAAGGAGGGAGGATGAAAGTTAGTGTGAAAGCCTCTTGTCAGAGGGTAACTGGAATCTGCAGTATAGAAGTGACGGCCTGAGGAAGCCTCATGAGGTATTACAGTTGTCCTGGGGGCTGTGAGGCTACACAGAAGGCTAATCCAGGTCTTCAGCAAGAGCTGCTATCACAGAGATGATCTGCAGGAAAAAAATTGGTAGGTGGAAACAGAGAGAGTATTTTACAATTTAGAGTCACACAGGAAATCAGAAGGAAGGTAAAAAATAGTGCTCATCCTTTCCCTCATGGCATCAGTGCAACAGATTGCAAAAGCTTGCAAGTATTACCCTACTAAATGGATCTCCTTGACTTTGAAATTTCAGTCCTTAGGAATCTGTTACAGCCCATTTAAGTAGTTTAATGCC